GACCTCCATTATTTGAATGTCAGCAGACAGCAAGAAGCCTCCCAGATCTCCAGATGCATTTGAGATATCAAAAAAGTACTCCAGAGTGGTGTTCAGCATGGGGGTGAGTAGAAAATGAAGGCTAATCATGTTTTGGGTGTACTATTCCTTAAAGGTGTGGCCACGACTTACTAAGGCGTGGCCACGAGATAGATAAGTTATGGCCACAACTTATCTATCTCATGGCCACGCCTTAGTAAGCTGTGGCCTAAACTTAAAAAGTCGTGGCCACCAGATAGATCTTAAAAAAAAAAAAAAAAAAAAAAAAAAACTTCACCCTATGTAACCAGAGGGGCTCCGTAAAATACAGACGACAGAGCCTGTAACAAAATTAAAACGAATGCAAAGGCAGAAGGTGGTAAATGCCATACTCTAATTGTAGCAGGGCTCATAGCCAACATTTCCAAAACATGGTTTATGTGAATAAGAGAGTCACTGCACATTCAGGATTATGCTGCGTTCAAAATACACCTAATCCAGCAAATTTCTGCCTCATTAGTTAGCTGTTGCTCAATTTTACCATTCAATAAAATGAGGTTGCCAATATCCAAGAATTTGTGCATGCTTCTCCTCTAAGCTTGTGGCCTATTTTTGTATACGCCTATAGTGTCTCTCTTGTGTATGGACCCTTTCATTCGCTCAACTTTTGTCATTTTGAGGGTGGAACTAACTGAGGCTTTGTTTGTGCCCTACCTCAGATATTCCCAGTTCAGAAATTCCAGGAGCTACGGCTGGATCATGGGAACAGGCAAAGTTAACTTTATTCAACTTTGACATCACTTTTCATTGACATAGGGGTGCGGAGGGCACATGCTAAACCTCAATTATTACTTGGAAATCTCGTTTGAGGCCAGATTTGATGGTACATATAAGAGTATGGGGCTCTTGCCTGCAAAAGATTACTTTACTAATCTGCCCCCTTTCTTAAAGGTGCCCTATCTCAGAAGTTAAAAGAAATGCACAAACAAACAGTTATAAGTGGCCTTTAAAAACCTCAGCTCAAGTTTCACCTGAATGCCCCTCATGAGAGATACAGATTATCAATCTGGCTGCCAGGTTTACGGTAAAATGTGTGAATGCAGAGTTTTGGTTTCTTTATATATTTGACCTCAGAGAAAAAGAAAAAAAAACGTAAACTGATTTCAGAAATTGCGCATCAAGACCTGCATTGTGAACATAGACTCATTGGCAGATCAAGTGGAAACTAGGGAGTGCAATGCAGGAGACGTGGGATCTGAAGAACCCAGTTCTGCAGCCACTTCTCCATAGCAGCTGACGTTTACACAACAGTAGGCATCTGGATCAGAGGCATTGCATGGTTGCATCATATATTTGCACTTTATATTAATGACCTATTCAATTATATTTGCAACTTCTTATCCAAACTATAAAACATGTGAAAGAGTTTTGTTTGAATGTCCGTATCTGATCCAAACAGTGCCGTCAGCTGATGCATTGACTTCAATTAGAGGAGCTGTTTCAGGGTCCGGTCGATCAAGCAGAGGCACACCCTAAAGGTGTGGGCAATATACCACACGCTAGCTCAAAACATTGAAAACAAGAGTTGACAAATAATCACTCACTGAATTTTAATATATTTAAAGAGAAAATGTACTGAACAACCAGTTTATGCTGACATCAACCAAACAACCACAGCACAGAATAAAACTAAGGGATCTCCGAGGACGTCGATATCTCCTGATGAACAAAAACTTAGTGCTGCCTAGGGTCCCCGTTGTGGCAGTTGCTTCAAAGTTCATGCATATTAAAACATTGTGCACAAATAAAGGTAGAGGGGTCGTCACGCAAGGAGATTTACTGAAGACTGGGATTGTGGGAGGTCACCAGCCCTCTGCAGGCAAAAAAGAATCCAATGCAGCAAAAGGTCCAAGGTCCCTTCAGGGCAGCAGGTGAACCTCTAATGTTTTTGGCATGAGAAGAGAAAAAAAAACCTTGCTGAAGATATTTGGACCTGGTAGAACTCTGAAGAAGCTAAAATAAATCACTAAGTACTCTCTGAAAGTAAACTATGAGGTCAAAAAGAGTCAGATCTGCATGAGTCCAACTGAGTGCTTTAAAATGGTTCGGCAGAGAGCAGAACACCAAAAACTGGCTGTTTAACAACACCACTAAAAAATTCCAACACACCAGTAACCGCAGCTAAAAATGGGACCGAGCATTCCAAAAGAAGCTCAGAAATAAAATAACAGAACGTCAAAGAAACCAGCAGAAATGACTCAAACCTCTTTGTTACAGCAATCTGACAAATCCTGCCTAGGGTTACGAGGCCAGAATCATCGGAATCTGTAGGAACCCATAATTCATCAGACTCTCTTACAAACCCTAGTAACCTTTCAAAAAACACACATTATAGGAACCTGTTAGAACCTGCAGGAATTGAATGGAACCAATAAGAATCCATCAGAACCTGAATTTCAGTTCGAAGCAGAACTTCTAGAAGCCCTTAACGTGGCAGTAAGCTTCCAACGATGAGAAGACGATGTACATCAACCACAGGCTAAAGAACAGGGTAGTGGTGAGGATTTTAGGAATTCGTGGACCACCAAGCTCCCCTCCGATGGATGGTCGGCGCCGGTAAATCAGGACAGCAATGCATATGAATGCAAAGATGGTGAAGAGAGTTACAGAGAAGGCCAGAGTTCCTGGGTCCACCTTAAACTCCTGCCCTTTGCTGTAATGGTAGATGGCAGCAATGGACCACGCCACACCTATTCCAAGAAAGACGTTGACAGCATTGCTTCCAGTGACATTCCCAATGGAGGCGTCGGCGTATTGGTCCTGGATGGCGGCCAATTTACTGGCGAAGGTGTCTGATAAAAAGACAGAGGAAAAAAAAATATGTTTCAGATTTGTTCTACCTGATTTTGTAGGTCAACAACCGTGAAAAGACTTCAAGTTTCTCTGGTTGTAAACATGAAGCCGACTTTGTCTCATGAATTATTAGAATCATGTGACAGCAAGGGATTAATTTCTATGCTGATAGGATGACTTAACTTTCAGCTTCTGATGGAGACAAAACAGAAGTTAGTCTTTGGACTGGTGTCTCTGAAAAAGAAGCTGATTAGTCAGTCACTTTATTTTGGTGGGACTAAATTGATCTCAGATAATAAAGTAAAAAATCTTGGTGTTATTTTTGATCAGGGCCCATCAATTAAATCCCATATTAAAGAGGTTTCTAGAATGTCCTTTCATTTCCAGAATATTGCAAAATGATAAATATCCTGTCCAGGGGTGATGCTGAGAAACTAGTC